GGGGAAAAATTAAGAACCAAGATGAATCATGTAAAGGTACAATTCCCAATGAGAAATGTAGTTGTATGCCTGAAATGTACCAATGAAGAATTTAAGAAAATAAAAAAGAAAATTATACGTAATTTTAATATATAGTAGCCATTTTGAATTTATATTTTCTCAGTGCTCTCAAAAATATCTGTATAGCATATAATGTTTGTCCTTTAGTGATGTTAAAGTCAAATGTTAATTCAATCTATTCATTATAAAGCTCTGCATTTTGAGCTACCAGTTTTAGGATTGCTTCTTAGATCTACATTAATGTTGTTATTCTTTTTTTTTTTTTTTTACAACAAATTGCTATTGAACTCCTAGCGTTTGCTTTATTCTGGTGTTAGTCCTTTCACATGGTAAATGCTTAATAAATCTGTCTCCTTTGTCTAGCCAACATCCCTCCCATGACAGCTTATAAGGTCCAGATTTCCACAAACCCCTGGGAAGTACAGTGGTAACCATAAACATATCTACAAGTCACTGTAGGAGACTTTCTACCCCAGGTCCACCCTGCTTTATTTTTCTGTTATTGAAGGTAAAAATAAAATTGATTCCATTAAGTGGTACCTTCAATACATAATAGAGAAAGCAACTTTTTTATAGATAGCTTTGAGATTTTTAATGAAATTTCTGAGTATCAATATTGCCTATCAACGTGGTCACCACTCAATAAGAATCTTAGTCTAGTACTATATTATTACAATTGGTGTAGGGGGTGTTAAAGATTATCTAACCCAACTCACTCATTTTATAGACTAGGAACTTGGCATCCAAGGTTACTTAGCAAGGTAGAGAGAAAGTGAGAATAAAATCCAGTTCTTTTGCTGCTTCTCAGTGCTCTTATTAAAATATCTCACTCCCCTTTGTTTTTTCAGATATTCATATTTTTAATGTTCTGACATAATTGTTAGCTTTCTGTCACTGTGACAAAATACTTGAGATAAATAACTTGAAAGGAGGAAAGATTTTTTTGGTTTATGCTTTTAGAGGTTTCAGTCCATGGTTATTTGACTCTGTCACCTTTGGGTTTATGTCAAGGCAGCCCATCCTGGTAAACAGTATGTGGCGAAGGAAGCTGCTCACCTGATGGTAGCCGGGAAAAGAGAGAAGGGGCCAAGGGTTCCAGTATCCCTTTCAAGGGCATGGCTCCAATGACCTCAGTTCTTTCTACTAGGCACCATCTCCTAAAGGTTCTACCACCTTCCAGTAGCACTACAGGCTTCGGATCAAGCCTTTAGTATATGGGCCTTTGAGGGATATTTAATATCCAAACCATGACACACTGCTTCTAAATCTGGATTTTAAATAGCTGTTTTACCCTTATATTGCTCTATAAATTTAAATCATTGCCTATATGAATATATAAATGTTTGTGAATTTCTTTTTGTTTTGTTTTTTTTTACCTTTCCTCTTATAGATGCAGCAGTACTTGGGAAGACCAATTGTAAAAGACTCTTTCTTTAGACCAATACTTACTGTTCCTCAAATGCCTGCAATTTGCCCTGCAGTCATCTCTGCAACTGCCCAACCTAGACCTCCCTTAGTAAGATCTTTTCTTGGTGGAATAGATAATAACTAATTCTTTATCACTATTCTGAGCTTTTAAATTAATACTTTCTCTTTATTTTATATGATTATGATCTTGATGGTGATAATGATGATAATTGAATGATAACTGAATATTTTCTGTGGAAAAAGTTAGAAGGCAGAATTACCCTGTAATTGAATCCTTAGGAGAAACCATTTTTTAAAAATTGTCATATAACTTGCGTACCATTTTCTGTATCACTTATGGATATATATTTGAAATTGTTTGATACTAGATAAGTTATAAGTACTATATCTTTCATATCTGAACATTTTTGTGAACATCTCACATATGCAGACAGACATAAATGTCTATTTTTAACTATTAGATTAGATGTACCATAATTTATATACTCATCCCCTTATTTATAAAGTTCAGGTTATATTTTCCACTACTATATAAAATACAGCAATAGACACAAATTATGTATTTCTGTATATGTTTGTAATTACTGTGCAACATGTCATACTTTTAGAGTATGTTAAAATAGTCACAACAGGGCCAGGGATTTAGCTCAGTGGTTCCACAGCTTGCCTCGCAAGTGCAAGGACCCGAGTTCGATCCCAGGTACCAAAAATAAATAGTCATAACAAATTAAAATATTGTTGCATTAGTTAAGAGAATAAGACAACTCTAAAAAAAGAATGAGCATGTCTATATTGCTCCTCTTCATCCTACTCATTTTCTGAGGTATGGAAATATCATGATAGCATAGAATATTGCTTATTAGTTGAAACTGATAGATTATATTTCTTTGTGCCTTCCAGATGACTGGCATAGCCTGGACCATGCCAACGCCTGTAGGAGAGACCGTGCCTCCCAGTGCAGGTCTGGGAACTGATCTTTCCATGATGAATTGGGAGAGGATCACAGACAGGCTAAAAACTGCTTTTCCGCAACAAACCAGGTACCTTACTTTTTAAGTCGTTATTATAAATCATATTAGGCAGGTTCCATTGCAATAATTGCAGCACTGAAACATTTCAGAGAAGCATAACACAGACAAAAAAATATATAAACATTATTATGCCTTGGTAAGGAAAATGGAACTTACCAGGAAGTACTAGTGTTCGATAGAAATGATAAATTTCATCACTAATATTGTTAGTCTTAAATCATGAGAAAATAACTTTTAAAATTTAGGCTTGCCTTTCACTGAAAGTACAAATAGTTATTAATTTATTTGATTTTCAATTTTAATACCACCTACTACAATACTTTAATATCCTATTTCCAAAGTAAATTTTAAGTTGTATGCTACATAAACCTAAAACATCAGGTTTTTGTTTTCTAGTTCCTAAAATCTTATTGAGGTTCTTTATAATTTCTTTCTTGAAGAACACAGTTAAATGCAAGAAATTGTAAATTAACCATGTTTTTCACAGTCTCACTTTGGTAGAAAGATACTTAATTTTACTCCTACACAAATGAAACTTTTTAAAAAATCTCTACTCTTGCATCCAAGGGAATAATTCTAATTTTTACCAGTATTTACATTTGAAAACCAACCCTTTATTATACATACCATTGTTATTAGGATTTGATTATGATTCTATAACTTTCATGGTAATAAAATGAAAATGAAAAAGATCTGTCATACAGTTGTTATGAATAGATAGGCAAAGGCTAATGACATGACACTTCAATTGGTAAGGAAAATATTTCATCCTCTGTCCTATCAAAAATGTAGATGCAAGCTTTGGTTCAGTAGACTTTGGAAATTGAAAAGGAACATATTGATTAAAATAATTGTAGGTGTTAATCATATAATAAAAATTTCTATTAATCTTTGCTTTGTGATTCTATTTAATCTTTGTTTTCTATTAGTTTTACCAAAAACTATTAATACTGGTAAAGAAAAAGCCAATATCAACATAGTTAAAAAGAAATATATTCATCTTGACTTCTGTACAAAAATAAGTATACTTGGTTTTCATATAGTGAGCTCTCAAAATCAAAGTTAAAATCCTGTTTTGGAAAAAAATAAACACTTAGTTTTATCACTCATGAATACATTAAGCATTGTTATTGACCCAATTAAGAATTTTCATTTTAATTTCAGATAAATGCAGATGGACCTATAATTACTTTTTAGATCAAAGGCCTAAAGAGCCTCATCTACTGACATGTTATACACCTGTTATGTGATAGGATTTTTATATCTCCTTTGGGGGGTACATCCTCAAGACAATAGGGAAAATCAACACATCTTTTTTCTGATCTCTTCCAGAAAGGAGCTTACAGATTTCTTACGAAAATTGAAGGAGGCTCATGGGAAGTCTTTATCTGGACTGACATGTGATGAAATTGTTTACAAGATTTCCCAATTTATTGATCCCAAGAAGTGTCAGGTGAAAAACCCAAACAAAAACCTGTATTATCTCTGCTGTTATCTCTCTAATGGTTACCTGGGGTTTTGGGGGGGGGGTACTGGGGATCAAACTCGGGACCTTTAATGGTTACCTGTTTTAATTATCTCTATAACAGGTTAAGAAAATCAGTAACCTCTAATCATATTAGATCATCAATTAAGTGAGTAATTCCACAATTTCAACTTGACAAATGATACAGAAAGTCTTTTTGAAATACCTAGAAGTAAATTGATCCCCCACTTTAGGGCTGAATAGGATAAATTTTGAGTCATTTGTGGGAAAATGGATGCATCTTAAGTCCATAATTCTAAGTGAAATTAATCAGACACAGAAAGTTAAATATTGCATAATTTCTCTTATTATGAGGAGCCTAAAATATAAGTAATTTAAAAAGCAAAATAAAAGAGAGATGATAGGAAAACAGTAGTCTTTGTGAAGATAGGAAATTGAGGAGAGGGGTGGGCAGGGAAGGAAAAGGGAAGTAAACATGATTAAGTCCAACATTTATATATACTGATTCCTCTAAATCAATGTAATTATTACATATTACAAATATATAACAAATAAATAAATAACTGAATACCTTGAAATTTTCTCTAAGTTATTTTGAATGATTTTAAATGACTTTTTTTTCTAATTTTCAATAAGTATTTTAATTAAAAAAAAATACATGGAATTATTTTGTCTTACCTGGCTCTGAAACATATCACCAACATTTTGTTTCAAGCTATCTCATGTATCTAATGCTTAGTTTTTTAATTTTAATTTTTTCCTAATTCTTGCAGCACTTCATTGTGTGCAATTCTATCAGTTCATCCTATTTTAAAATGATTCTGAAAACTATGCATAATGTTTTTATTTTCAGAGTCAAGGAAAATCAGTGCCAAATGGTAGTGTTTCACCTAGCGATTCTTCATCACAGCCCAATGCTGCCCAACCCCCAAAGTCAACCTGGAAGCCCCTCAGTTCACAAGGTTCTGCCACATGGGAAGGAGCCAGTAATGTGGTAAAATTGTTGATTGTGAACACGTTTCAATTTGGGAAGGACAAATAGGCTACATTTAACATATATAATTCTCTGTAGGATGAAGAGGAAGAAGAAGAGCCTTGTGTGATCTGTCATGAGAATCTGTCTCCAGAAAACCTTTCAGTTTTACCTTGTGCTCACAAATTCCACTCTCAGGTATCTCTTCAATTTGTTCTGTTAATATTTTATCATTAACTAGCTAAAGGAGACCTCTTAATACTGCCTTACTTAAAATCATAGACATGTACCATTATCCAATGGCATGCCACAGATTCCACTGTGTATAACTCTGAACTTCACTTTTGGATATCATGCAGAAACATTTAAACATTTTCAAATATATATATATATATATATATATATATATATATATATATATATATATGAACCTTGGCTTGCTATAAATTCTATATAGTGCCGTTTATCTTTACCTAGTCATGCCTCCCTATCACTATAGAGCATAAGACTTATCTTAGCAGTCTGTCCAGGCTCCTATATTTTCTTTTGAAGATGCTCAGGCTGGAGTTTTAATGTTAGAAATATGCAAAGCTGGTATACCTTTATTTATTTTTAGCATTTATATGGATTGACTCCTAGTGTTGTTTCTATGTACGTGCCATCGATAATACATTGTATGGCCCAGGTTCTTTGTGGAGAGATGTAATTTGACATAGGAAAAGATAATCTTCCACAAGAAAGAGTTCTCAGGAAAGTGAACAATAACTAACTCATTTTAAGCCATTTTTGTAAGTCATCATTTCAAAGATATGATATGTAGTAAAGAATTATTTATTACATCTGCTTTGATATGAAGACATATACACAAAATATCTAACCCTAAAAGATCTCCAAGAAAGACACTTAGCAACCTGGCTTTCTCATTTGAAGTTTTTAAGGTCTTGACAATTTATAAATGTTTAATAAAACTTTTTTTTAATTCTTTGCCATTGTCCATTGAACAGAAAACACAGGATACACTCAGGTTATTTTTTAGGAGTAGAGTTAGTGGGCCTCATATATAGTCCCTATTCTTAATCTCATTTGACCTGGCTCTCTATTATTTATATATGTTAAGATAATTGGTTTTTGGGAGAGTTACTACTCAAGCAAATGACTTAGCAAATGGTTAGTTCTTAATCAAAGATCACTATCATCTTTACTATAGAAGACAGCTTGAGGAATTTATTTATAATCTTGGGGTTTTAACTTTAGAACACCATAAGCATTTTCTACAGAGTATTGGTAACTTTTGTATATTGAGTTCTTTTTTTTTTTGGTACTGGGGATCAAATTCGGGTCCTTGTGCTTGCGGGTTAGGCGGTGGAACCACTGAGCTATATCCCTGGCCCCTATATGTTGAGTTCTGAATTTTTGTGGCTTATTAATGAAGGTAATATATAGTAAAATAAACCAGACATAGAATACAGCAAGTTTCCCCAATTTTCTTGTCAGGAAGAGTTGCTATGCCTTCTGAAAACTGGAGTTAGGGGATGAAACCTAATAGAGTAAACTAACTGACGGTTGTTCTGCCATTACCTTCAATATGCTCAGTGCACCATAGAGAAGGTACCATATTGGTTGGTAACCGTGATACATAGAGTGACAACTGCCTCTGTAAGGCTAAATCTGAGCGACTAACATGAATCTTTTTGCCCCTTAGTGCATTAGGCCATGGTTGATGCAACAAGGGACATGCCCAACCTGTAGACTCCATGTTTTGCTACCAGACGAATTCCCTGGTCACACCAGCCAGCAGTTACCCAAGGTCTGATACAAAGCGGGTGACTATGCAAATGAACCTCAGTTTTCAGACTCCAGAATGTACATTTTCCTTTTTCTATGAGCAGGTTGTGTGAGCAGTGTGAACCAGTATGCTCTTCAATATTGTGCTAAACAAGCTAGCTAATTGCATCAAAGTGGCAGCCAAAGAGATCAAGGCAGATCTTCAGGACTTGTGAATTAAACTGAAGGGGTTTAAGAAGATGGAATTTTAATAATTACAATATATTTGTTCTTATCTTAGTGGACTTTTTCTTCTGTGGACATAACTACTATTATATTTCTTATGGTTTTTTTCTTGTTGTTTTTCCTCTGTATTCTACTCATCTTTTCCTTTCAAATATACTGCATCGTAATTTTTAAAAATAAATTTAGGAGAAAAACTGAAATAGTAAAGAAGGAAAATTTCCACAGATTTTAATGTTCTGTTCAAATTTTAAACTAGTTATTAAAATATAATTGAATTACTTAAATTGTATTCCTGTCTTCTCT